CACAAACACATGGAGTCTAAACAGTCCATTACTAAATAACCAAGCGATCACTGAGGAAATCAAAACATACCTAGAGACAAATGACAATGAAAACATGACGATCCAAAACCTATGGGATGCAGCAAAAGCGGTTCTAAGAGGGAAGTTATAGCTATACAAGCCTACCGCAAGAAACAAGAAAAATCTCAAATAAACAATCTAACGTTACACCTAAAGGAACTAGGGAAAGAAGAACAAGCGAAACCCAAAGTTAGCAGAAGGAAAGGAATCATAAAGATCAGAGCAAAAATAAATGAAATAGAAACAAAGAAAACAATAGCAAAGATCAATAAAACTAAAAGCTGGTTCTTTGAGAAGATAAACAAAATTGATAAACCATTAGCCAGACTCATCAAGAAAAAGAGAGAGAGGACTCAAATCAATAAAATTAGAAATGAAAAAGCAGAAGTTACAACAGACACTGCAGAAATACAAAGCATCCTAAGAGACTACTACAAGCAGCTCTATGCCAATAAAATGGACAACCTAGAAGAAATGGATAAATTCGTAGAAAGGTATAACCTCCCAAGACTGAACCAGGAAGAAATAGAAAATATGAACAGACCAATCACAAGTAATGAAATTGAAACTGTGATTAAAAATCTACCAACAAACAAAAGTGCAGGCTCAGATGGCTTCACAGGTGAATTCTATCAAACATTTAGAGAAGAGCTAACACCCATCCTTCTCAAACTCTTCCAAAAAATTGCAGAGGAAGGAACACTCCCAAACTCATTCTATGAGGCCACCATCACCCTGATACCAAAACCAGACAAAGATACTACAAAAAAAGAAAATTACAGACCAATATCACTGATGAATATAGATGCAAAAATCCTTAGCAAAATACTAGCAAAGAGGATCCAACAACACATTAAAAGGATCATACACCATGATCAAGTGGGATTTATCCCAGGGATTCAAGGATTCTTCAATATACGCAAATCAATCAATGTGATACAACATATTAACAAATTGAAGAATAAAAACCATATGATCATCTCAATACATGCAGAAAAAGCTTTTCGCAAAATTCAACACCCATTTATGATAAAAACTCTCCAGAAAGTGGGCATAGAGGGAACCTACCTCAACATACTAAAGGCCATATATGACAAACCCACAGCAAACATCATTCTCAATGGCGAAAAACTGAAATCATTTCCTCTAAGATCAGGAATAAGACAAGGACGTCCACTCTCACCACTATTATTCAACATAGTTTTGAAAGTCCTAGCCATGGCAATCAGAGAAAGAAAAGAAATAAAAGGAATACAAATTGGAAAAGAAGAAGTATAATTATCACTGTTTGCACATGACATGATACTATACATAGAGAATCCGAAAGATGCCACCAGAAAACTACCAGACCTAGTCAATGAACTTGGTAAAGTTGCAGGATACAAAATTAATGCACAGAAATCTCTGGCATTCCTATACACTAATGATGAAAAATCTGAAAGTGAAATTAAGAAAACACTCCCATTTACCATTGCAACAAAAAGAATAAAATACCTGGGAATAAACCTACCTAGACAAAAGATCTGTATGCAGAAAACTATAAGACACTGATGAAAGAAATTAAAGATGATACCAACAGATGGAGAGATATACCATGTTCTTGGATTAGAAGAATCAATATTGTGAAAATGGCTATACTACCCAAAGCAATCTACAGATTCAATGCAATCCCTATCAAATTACCAATGACATTTTTTACAGAACTGGAACAAAAAATCTTAAAATTTGTATGGAGACACAGAAGACCCCAAATAGCCAAAGCATCTTGAGGGAAAAAAACAGAGCTGGAGGAATCAGACTCCCTGACTTCAGACTATACTACAAAGCTACAATAATCAAGACAATATGGTACTGTCACAAAAACAGAAACATAGATCAGTGGAACAAGATAGAAAGCCCAGAGATAAACCCACGCACCTGAGGTCAACTAATGTATGACAAAGGAGGCAAGGATATACAATGGAGAAAAGACATTTTCTTCAATAAGTGATGCTGGGAAAACTGGACAGCTATATTTAAAAGAATGAAATTAGAGCACTCCCTAACACCGTACACAAACATAAACTCAAAATGGATTAGAGAACGAAATGTAAGACCGGACACTATAAAACTCTTAGAGGAAGACATAGGAAGAACACTCTTTGACATAAATCACAGCAAGATCTTTTTTGATTCACCTCCTAGAGTAATGGAAATAAAAGTAAACAAATGGAGCCTAATGAAACTTAAAAGCTTTTGCACAGCAGAGGAAACCATAAACAAGACGAAAAGACAACTCTCAAAATGGGAGAAAATATTTGCAAACGAATCAATGGACAAAGGACTAATCTCCAAAATATATAAACAGCTCATGCAGCTCAATATTAAAGAAACAAACAACTCAATCCAAAAATGAGCAGAAGACCTAAGTAGACATTTCTCCAAAGAAGATATACAGATGGCCAAGAAGCACATGAAAAGCTGCTCAACGTCACTAATTATTAGAGAAATGCAAATCAAAACTACAATGAAGTATCACCTCACACCAGTTAGAATGGGCATCATCAGAAAATCTACAAGCAACAAATGCTGGAGAGGGTGTGGAGAAAAGGGAACCCTCTTGCACTCTTGGTGGGAATGTAAATTGATACAGCCACTGTGGAGAACAATATGGAGGTTCCTTAAAAAACTAAAAATGGAATTACCATATGATCCAGCAATCCCACTACTGGGCATATACCCAGAGAAAACCATAATTCAAAAAGACACATGCACCCCAATGTTCATTGCAGCACTATTTACAATAGCCAGGTCATGGAAGCAACATAAATGCCCATCAACAGACGAGTGGATAAAGGAGTTGTGGTACATGTATAGAATGGAATATTACTCAGCCATAAAATGAACGCAATTGGGTCATTTGTAGAGACGTCGATGGAACTAGAGACTGTCATACAGAGTGAAGTAAGTCAGAAAGAGAAAAACAAATATTGTATATTAACGCATATATGTGGAACCTAGAAAAATGGTACAGATGAACCGGTTTGCAGGACAGAAATTGAGACACAGATGTAGAGAACAAACGTATGGACACCAAGGGGGGAAAGCGGTGGGGGGTGGGGGTGGGGGTGTGATGAATTGGGAGATTTGGGGGGAAAAAAATGCAGTTCCTCAGATGCACCCGCCAGTTTCAAGTGCCCATGAGCTTGTAGCTACTGTATGAGTCTCGCAGATATAAATCCATGGCCCCCTTCCGAGGCTGAGTTTCAGACAAGACATCGCAGAATCCAGAAGATACCAAAGATTTCTCACAAGTTGGCAGTTTAAAAAGGATGGCAGTCCCCAACAAACACATGAAAGAATGCTCAACATCATTAATCATTAGAGAAATGCAAATCAAAACTACAGTGAGATATCATCTCACACCGGTCAGAATGGCCATCATCAAAAAGTCTAGAAACAATAAATGCTGGAGAGGGTGTGGAGAAAAGGGAACACTCTTGCACTGCTGGTGGGAATGTGAATTGGTACAGCCACTATGGAGAACAGTATGGAGGTTCCTTAAAAAACTACAAATAGAACTACCGTATGACCCAGCAATCCCACTACTGGGCATATACCCTGAGAAAACCATAATTCAAAAAGAATCATGTACGAAAATGTTCATTGCAGCTCTATTTACAATAGCCCGGAGATGGAAACAACCTAAGTGTCCATCATCAGATGAATGGATAAAGAAGATGTGGCACATATATACAATGGAATATTACTCAGCCATAAAAAGAAACGAAATTGAGCTATTTGTAATGAGGTGGATAGACCCAGAGTCTGTCATACAGAGTGAAGTAAATCAGGAAGAGAAAGACAAATACCGTATGCTAACACATATATATGGAATTTAAGGGAAAAAAATGTCATGAAGAACCTAGGGGAAAGACAGGAATAAAGACACAGACCTACTAGAGAATGGACTTGAGGATATGGAGAGTGGGAAGGGTAAGCTGTGACAAAGCGAGAGAGAGGCATGGACATATATACACTACCAAACGTAAAATAGATAGCTAGTGGGAAGCAGCCGCATAGCACAGGGATATCAGCTCGGTGCTTTGTGACCGCCTGGAGGGGTGGGATAGGGAGGGTGGGAGGGAGGGAGACTCAAGAGGCAAGAGATATGGGAACATATGTGTATGTATAACTGACTCACTTTGATATAAAGCAGAAACTAACACACCATTGTAAAGCAATTATACTCCAATAAAGATGTAAAAAAAAAGAAAAAAAAAAAAGGAAGTTAGGAGGGAAGGTAAGAGAGGAAAGAAAGCCTTTAGAATCTAATCCCTCCAAAATGTTGCTGGGCAGAGAATGAGGCCCCCAGGGTATATAAGGAGGTCAGGGGAGAAAGGGAGGTTTGGCTGCAGTTCTTAGTTTCAGTTCCCAGTTTCGCTCAAGCTTTAAAAATGTATTGCACGCCCTATTTCTCGCTCTCTTCAGGAACTTGCTGAGCGTGAGAAAACATAAGTTGCGTTGGCCGGGAATCGAACCCGGGTCAACTGCTTGGAAGGCAGCTATGCTCACCACTATACCACCAACGCGCTCGGGCCTCAGCGTCTTAATTACATATATAAGTATACTACTGGCCATGATGTCACAGATGGCTTTTGGTATTGCTTTATATCCGAGATCCCAAGGCACACAAAGCCTTTTCTCGGTGCGGATGGACCCGTCCTTACTCCTCTTAGTCGGCCCCGCCAACTAATGACGCGGGGCCGGGAACGCAGAGACCACCCGGCGCCCGGAGCCGGAGGGCTGGAACACGCGGAGCCCGGAGGGAAAGCCAATGCCTTGCTCGGCCCGGGGAATTTTCTCCCTCGCCGCCTTCTGTCGTCCGCGCTCCCAGCTCCGCCGCTTGGCGCGACCCAGCACTGGATCCACCGGGTGTTGGGTTCGGTAACGGCGATTTGGGGCGGAGGGTTCGAGGGAGACCGGCTAGCAAGGGGGTCCACCCTGGTGTGGCTCGGTCCCCCGAGAGAAGGAGCGAGAGGAGCGCTCGAAGGGACACTGGGGAAATGGATCTTTACAGTTTAGGATGATGAAGAAGTAAGCGATAGGAGTCGGAGGCAGCTATATTTTTCCTGTTTTGCGAAGAAGTCCAGGGAGAATTCTAAGTTTATTTAAATAAACAGCAAACAGCATTGATATAGTTCAACATCATGCTACCGCGGTGTTTGACAATCTTAGGAGGGAATAGAAACGCGTTTCTCCGTGTGTCAGGATGGCCGAGCGGTCTAAGGCGCTGCGTTCAGGTCGCAGTCTCCCCTGGAGGCGTGGGTTCGAATCCCACTTCTGACAACATGTATGTTTTACTCATTTTTTTTCCAACATAGAAGTAGGATTGAATTCGTGGGGAAAGGAGTGTTGATTAATAAACACCTTTCTATGCTGCGTTTCTACACATGAAGGTTGTGCTTCGCTTTGACTATGAAACTGAATCTATTTAGATCTATCCCTAACTACAAAAAATTTTTTCTTTCCTTTAGACTCCGGTTTCTATTTACTGCATGTAGATACAAAAGACTCCCCTGAACAAGGAAAAGCCCTCAACCCAGATCCCTAAACTTGCTGTAACTGACCTGAGTCTTTTCATGCTCAGACTGCAGTGTCAAACTTTGATGAGACTCGGATTCCCCAGCATCTTGCCGGGCCAGCTCCCACCACCAATTCTAATTCAGCACGTTTGCTGGGTCCTCAAAGACCCGGAAAGGAAATCAACACACCAAACGGGGGAAAGTACTAGAGAGCAAAGGTAAACTCATGGAGTTGTTTCAAGAACTTTTTCTTGAAGACCGCAAACAAGCTACTCTCTAATTTGGGAGGTGCTGATTTATAGAAAAATCTTGTGCTTTCCGGAAGAGGGAAGAACTGTCAGTCCGAAGAGGCTGAATGTGTGAGGTCCATAAGCATGAGGATGGAAGGATCCTTAGGTTGGTTAATGAAAGCTCGCCAGACAAACTACATTCTTTGTTATTTACTGGGCTGCGACCTTGGGAAATGTATTTGACTTTTCTGAGCCTTAGTTTGCTTGTAGTAAAATGGAGATAGAATTGTTGTGAGGATTGAGATGACCTAGCAGCTTATTAGAAATACAGATCTCAGGCTGTACCTCAGACCTACTGAATCTACATTTTATAAGATTCCCACATTTATAAGTCACATTGATATCACATACCTCCTGATATAATACAAGACGGGCACTTCACCCTGTGGTATACTTCCCCAAAACCCCACTGTAATCATGAGAAAACTGACAAACCCAAATTGAGGGACAATCTACCAAATATACCTAACCAGTAATCTTCAAAACGTGAAGGTCTTGAAAAACATCAGAAGATTAAGAAACTGTTGCAGATTGTAGGGAAGACATGATGACTAAATGCAACGAGTTAACCCGGATTGGCTTCTGAAACAGTAAAAGGACATTAGTGGAAAAATATGAAATCCCCTTAACATTAGGGGAAGCTGGATGAAGTATATACAGTGACTTTCTGTAGTATCTTTACAATTCTCAGTCTAAAATTATTGCAAAATAAAAAGGCCTTAAAAAAAAAAACTTGAAAGTGGTTGCCTGTTAGGAGTAGCACTTGGGAGTGGGGCAAGAAACTGCTGAGGTTTTTTTGTTGTTGTTTGGCCAACCCACGAGGCTTGTGGGATCTTGGTTCCCATACCAGGGATTGAACCCCAGCCATGGCAGTGAGAGCGCAGAATCCTAACAACTGGACTACCAGGGAATTCCCAAGACTGCCTGTTTTTCATTAGAAGGATTGTAGCAAGATTTGATTTTTTAATAATGGGCATATATTTTGATTTAATTTGTTCTAATATTTTGGGGAACAAATATTTAATCTGTTCTAATATTTTTATTGTAATCACGCATAGCTGTGATTACAGTAATTGAACTAAGACTATATATATATATACACACACAATACAATGACATTTAGATGCCTATTAACAGGAAACAATCCCCAAAGAATCTAAAGCATCAACAATCATTTAAAAGTGATGAAGTGGTTAGTTTGTTTAAATCCCTCTGTAGAAAAATAGATACCATCCAAATGAGAAGATCTGAAGTGTTTTGACAACTAAGCACAATGAAATTCTCCTTCTTATATACTGTGTGTATTTTTAATGAGAGAGAGAGAGAGAGAGATTGTTGAAATGCTAGGAAACTGTCTAAACCCTGTAGGTGCCATCATTCTGCTTGAGAAGTTACAAACAGTTTGGGATGGTCAATGTTGGAAGCTGGAAGGAAATTCAGGAAAGGGAAAGTATAATACAGAATGTGTATGTGACATCATCTCTTTTTTGCAGGTTCCTTCAATGTGAAGCCAGCTGGCATAGGACTTAGGCCAGGCGCAGGAAAAAGCAGTTAAAAATGTGAAATGACAACCAGGGGACAAATGAGGTGTTACTGCAACCTCTCCAGCTGCAAGAAATCACCCTTAGCTAAATATAACGTACCATTGCTCTAAGCAAGGCCGCCTTCTTTTCTGAGATAAAAATAAATCTCTCTTTGCACATGGGAGAGGTACGGTGTGGATTGGGCTGATTGGGAAGTAACTTACACAAATTTATCCTTCCCTTATATGTCAGTTAACTGGCAATAGAGTTGAGCCTTAGGATATTTCCCAGGTTTAGTCACTTGCTATAAAAAACACATATTCACTTAATGGACAATGTAAATATACAATAAAGTATACTTTTTCTCTCAGGGCTCAGCATCCAACTGTGTTCTAAAGGAATAATACGTACAATTTCACAACATCTAGGCGAAGATCTGGTAATAAGTGGAGTTACGGCCTGTTTGTGAGGTGACAATGTACGGGCTCTAGAATCAGGTAGGACAGGGCTCTTAATTCCAACTCCCCCCACCACCCCCCTTCCCCGACTTAATAGCTATGGCCCTTGAGTCATCGTTTAATGTCTTTTAACCTCCAGATCCTCACCTTCAAAAGGTGATGTTGCTGTGATGATTACATTGTATAATCAAGTACCTGGTACATAGGTGACAATCAATTAATAATAATTAGTGATAGCTAATAGTTGTTGGTCATATACTATATGCCTACCATTCTTCTTCACTCCTCACATATTTAGTTAATTGTACCCTTGTAACAATTCTGAGGTACTATTTCATCATCATCCCCATTATATAGAAGGGAAAACTGAAGCTCAGAGAGTTTAACTTGCGGAGTAGATAAAGTAACAGCACTGAAAACCTAAGCCTTCTGGTTCCAATATAGCCATTTTGCTACACAACTGCCGTTGTCATCATCGTCATCATCCTAGCGCTCATTCATCAGCAGAAAGCAGACGGGGCCGTGCTATTTCTCTCACATAGATAAGATAATAATAACTTTAATTACACCACTAGACTTACCCTCTTAGTCTAACATATGCCCCAGAGTCCAAGACTTGGGGTCTGCTCTCTAATGAACAATGAATAAGGTCACATTATTAGAGGCAGATAATTAGCATATAAACTCTTTGGCAGTGTGTTAGGACACACAGACTGACAAACTAAACTGGGCTCCTAATACAGAATTTTTATTTTAGGGTCTTGCTAGGGCTTACGTTTCTCTTCATTCTCTGCTTTTCCAGCTCCACCTCCCTCCCTCTTTCAACACAGTGTCACAATTCTCTCCTGTCTGACCTCATTTCAATACTATCTCAATGTGCCTGCCTCAAACTCTTCCTCTTACCTTGTTTTCCCTTATAGAAATCATGCACACAGCCTCATGAATTTTCTTCCCATCCCTCCTTCAGCACCCACCCCAACATTTTCTGCTTCTGATAGCCCTGCCCCTTCATCTACTTAATTGGATAGAATGAAAACTAAGAAGAAACGTTAAAAGTTTATTTAGTTCTTTTATTTCACATAACAAAATCCATACATGCAAGTAACAAAATACATTAAATGTAGATAAAAGCAGTGATAAAGTGCCACACAAATGTTCATAATGATTACTTCTGCTTGTCTGAAGTAGGAGAAGAAGATTTTTTAAAAGTCAACTGGCAAATACCTCAGTTATAAAACATACTGACCAATAAAACTCCCTGTGTGGGGGCAAGGTTCTCCTCCACTCCCACCCCTCAAGATAGGCAGGATCATAGTAGACAGTCTAGAAAGTCCACAAGCCCAGCCCTTACAGTCACAGCTGCCTTGCCAGGAGGGGCCATTTAATCGACTTCCTCAATGACAGGGCCAGTACTGGGGGTTCCCTGTCGGGCTTGAGATCCACAACTGCTACCGCCAGGGACACCAGGCCCCCGTAGAGCCTGGAGAAGACGGGGTGACAGATATGCTCCAGCTGCCCCTTCTTTTTTTTTTTTTTTTCTTCAGCTGCCCCTTCTGATGCACATATTCCTCTTTCTCTGCCAACCGGTTGTGCTCCAGCCAAACAAGGACTTCCTGACACTTGTCTTGTACTTTGTACCCGTCCTCTTCAGGAATCTTGTCTCTAAGTCTCTCCTCTTGCAAAGAGCTCTTCACATGGAAGACATAGGCCTCCAGAGAGTTTTTGGCAGCCACCCTGTCCCTCTGGGCCTCATCTTCATCCTGAACATCCTTGTACTGTTCAGCCTCACAAACCATCTTCCCCACTTCCTCCTTGCTCAGCCGGCCCTTGTCATTGGTGATGGTGATCTTGTTAGTTTTGCCTGTGCTCCTGTCAGTGGCTGTCACACTCAGGATGCCACCGGCATCAATGTCAAAAGTCACCTCGATCGGGGGGACTCCACGTGGGGCAGGAGGGATGCCACTGAGCTCAAAGCATCCCAGCCGGTGGTTGTCCCTAGTCATGGTCCTCTCACCCTCATACACCTGGATCAGGACCCCAGGCTGGTTGTCTGAATAGGTAGTGAAAGTGTGGGTCTGCTTGGTCGGGATGGTGGCATTCCTCTGGATCAGCGTAGTCATCACCGCACCAGCTGTCTCCAGCCCCAGGGACAGGGGAGCCACATCCAGCAGCAGGAGATCCTGCACCTTCTCACATTTGTCCCCCATCAACACTGCTGCCTGCACAGCAGCCCCATAAGCCACAGCCTCATACGGGTCGATGCTCTTGTTAAGCTCCCTGCCATTGAAGAAGTCCTGCAGGAATTTTTGTACCTTGGGGATGCGGGTAGAGCCACCCACTAGGACAGTGTCACGGATCTGGGCCTTGTGCAGCTTGGCACCCCTTAGGGCCTTCTCCAGCGGCTCCAGGGTGCTGCAGAAGAGGTCCGAGCACAGTTCTTCAAAGCGGGCTCGAGTGATGGAAGTGTAGAAGTCTACGCCCTCAAACAGGGAATCGATCTCCAGAGTGGTCTGGGTGCTGGAGGGCAGGGTGTGCTTGGCGCGCTCAGAGGCTGTGCAGAGCCTGCGCAGGGCCCGCTTGTTCCTGCTCAAGTCCTTCCCGTGCTTCCGCCGGAACTCCTCCACGAAGTGGTTCACCAGCCAGTTGTCGACGTCCTCTCCACCCAGATGAGTGTCTCCAGCCGTGGCCTTCACCTCAAAGACACCGGCGTCGATAGTGAGGACCGACACGTGGAAGGTGCCCCCACCCAAGTCGAAAATGAGCACGTTGCGCTCTCCGGCGCCCTGCTGGTCCACGCCATAGGCCGTGACAGCCGCCGTGGGCTGGCTGATGATCCTCAGCGTGTTGAGCACCGCGATGGCACCCGCGTCCTTGGTGGCCTGACGCTGGGAGTCTCTGAAGTAGGAGGGCACCGTGATTACAGCGTGCCTCAGGGGCTGGCCCAGGTACGCCTCCGCTGTCTCCATCTTGCTCCGCACCATGGACGAGATCTCCTCGGGGTGTAGAACGCCTTGTCCTCCCCGCGGTAGGACACGGGCACCTTGGGCTTGCTGCCCTCGCTCACCACCTGGAAGGGCCAGTACTTCATGTCCGACTGCACAGTGGGGTCTGCGAACTTGCGTCCGATCAGTCACTTGGCGTGGAACACTGTGTTGTGTGGGTTCAGATCCGCCTGGGTCTTGGCCGCATCGCCCACCCGACGCTCGGTGTCGGTGAAAGTCAAGTAGCTGGGGGTGGTGCGGTTGCCCTGGTCGTCGGCGAGGATCTCCACGCGGCCTTGCTGGAACATGCCCACGCATGAGTATGTGGTGCCCAGGTCGATGCCTATGGCCACTTCCCTTGCAGCGGACATGGCTGTGGCTTCTCGCTCTTCTGGGACGAGTGTGATACCGATTCAAATGCAGGAGTCTGCGGAACTTCGAGCGGCTCAGCCGTGGAGGTGCGCTCAGCGGTGCGGCTCTCCTGCCTGCCCAGCTCGGATCTGCTCGGCTCCGCTTCCACGAGCTTTTTATCCGGTTGCGGGAGGCCCGCCATACCCACGCCCCCGCCGACGCGAACCTTCCAGCGCCTTCGCGGCGAGCCCAGAGACGCCCGGCCCCCCGCTCCGGCTGACAGCCCAGGAGGCGCCGGGCTGACTCCGGGAGAAGGTTCGGGCGGATCGGGCCGCGCGAAGAGGGGCGGCCCCAGCTGCGTCAGACTCAGAGCTGCAGAGAAAGTTCCAGCTTCTCCCGGCTTGTTCTAAGGGCGAGCGGTTGGGGCAGAATTCAGGTAAAGCAAAAACTTCTCAAGAAAACAGTTCTTCCTCTGGGTGGTCGAAGAGGGCTGATCAGAATCCAGCGGCTCGAGAAAAGCCGGAAAGCTTGTCACCATGCGAATAGAGCCATGGCCTCGAGGCAGGGGTTTAAATAGTAGGTTTTTTTTCTTAAGTCTTAATTATTATGTTGTTGTTGTTGTTTTGAAACCTAAAGGCAGTGTTTTCGAAACTGTGGCTAAGAGGCGTGGCCCGATTTCTGTTCTGGAATGAAACTAGGGCGAGATGACTTTAAGAGATGGCGCTCTCAGTTACGTTACCGCCAAGGGCATTGGTGGTTCAGTGGTAGAATTCTCGCCTGCCACGCGGGAGGCCCGGGTTCGATTCCCGGCCAATGCACTGTGTTTCTTTCTTCCAGGCTGTTCTAATTTTAAAAAATTTTTATTGGAGTACAGTTGATTTAAAATGTTGCATTAGTTTCCGCTGTACAGCAAAGTGAATCACTTATACATATATCCAGTCTTTTTTTAGATTCTTTTCCCATATAGGTCATTTACAGAGTACTGAGAAGAGTTACCTAGATCCTTATTAGTTATCTATTTTACATATAGTAGTGTGTATATGTTAAGACTTTTTCTATTCTAGGATTTGTGACACTGAAATAAACAAAACCAGTTAGTTGAAGGCTGGGTTCGTTTGGTTTTTGCTCCTTTACCAAGTCGCATTCCTGAGAGGAGCCGGAACCTGGTGTTGTGGCTTGGGAACCCAGGCATGACCTCTCCACCCAGCCCTGGAGAGAACACAGCACAGGAGGAAGGAGCATGTGGATGGATGAACTGTGGTGAAAATGTCCCTCCTGTGGTTGTGCCTCCTCCCTGGGCCAGTGCCTCCAAGGAGCATCGTCCCAAGGGGCCGGTTGGAAAGGCACAGTGTGCGTTTTTCTCTGAGGCCTGGACGGGTTCTCAGCCAGAGCCCAGGGCGGATGTGGGGAGTAAATTCCTGGAGGCTGCAGTCCATCCTCTGCCCTGAAGGCCAGGGGAAGAGATGAGTTCACTGGTCAGTAAAGCCACATTTGTTCCCATCAGTGCTATGGCCTTGCAAAGTGAGTCTTTGCTATGTCTCACTTTCCTTAATCCAGAATATCCCATTTGAATTTTTTGGTGTTTCTATTTGGCGTGGACTCCCAAAAAGCCAAAAGAAGGAGGCTTTTTGGAGACATGAGGATGGAAATGGAGGAAAGAGAAGCAAATGTTCTCTATAACCTCCCCATGGGGGAAGGAACTCTGGTTTCCTGCATGACAGACAGGGATAGTCACCACTATACTAAGAGCACAGTACCCAGGGGAACATGATACATTCTAATGTTAAACTCTAGTAGCTTCAACTATTATGTAATATATTATTATTCACCCGATTCAAAGGCAACTCCTAATTTTTAAAAAGAGGAACTAAAAACCTTTGCTCTGTAAGTGGGTCTTTTCTCCTCAGATGGCTCAGAACTCTTTGGAAAGCTTCAGGGCCTTTGAAGAGGGAGGAGGGAGTCAGGATGCAGATGTCAGTCCCACTTCTGGACTGGAAAAAAGGGAATGTTTGAAGACATATGCAATGAGTGACTTCCATGGTGGAAAATCATATCAACCTGTTTTATAACCCAGGAGGGAGAGAAGCTGTCAGCTTTAAATTCATTCACTTTCAGTGTTTAGGCTGCCCAGGCCTGCGTGTCAAAGTTAGGAATTTTAGGCAAGAGCCTGCAAGAAAAGGGTGCTCACTTCAGAAAGGAAAAGGTGGCCTGGCCTGGGGTCTGTGCCCTGGACTGTTCAGGGACTGCCTTGTCGAGCTACTCCGACCTTCTCTCCCAGCCCTCAGCAGCCTCAAAACCCCACCTGCACATCTACCCCCAAGAGTTCCAGGTATAGCCCTAAAGCAAGCACCTCTGTACCTAGCCACAGCATCACACAGGCATGCTTCCAATGTCATTCACTTTATTTTTTAATTCATAATGGAGAAGCTTATTATGCAATGCAAATTTTACACATACACTTAAACATATCCACTTATGTTTAGTAACTTAGATTGAGTGTCTTTAAAAGTAGAACAGGGATTTCCCTGGTGGTGCAGTGGTTGAGAATCTGCCTGCAAATGCAGGGCACACGGGTTTGATCCCTCATCCACGAAGATCTTACATGCTACGGAGCAACTAAGCCTGTGCGCCTACAGCCTGGGCTCTCCAACAAGAGAAGCCACTGCAATGAGAAGCCCACGCACCACGACGAAGAGTAGCACATGCTCACCGCAACTAGAGAAAGCCCGCGCGCAGCAACGAAGATCCAATGCGGCCAAAAATAAATAAATAAATTTATTTTTTTTTAAAGTAGAAGAGACATTCAAGTGATGACTTAAAAGGTCATTGTGAGGCTTCCCTGGTGGCGCAGTGGTTGAGAGTCCGTCTGCCGACGTAGGGGACACGGGTTCGTACCCCGGTCCGCGAAGATCCCACATGCCGCGGACCGGCTGGGCCGGTGAGTCATGGCCGCTGAGCCTGCGCGTCCAGAGCCTGTGCTCCGCAATGGAAGAGGCCACAACAGTGAGAGGCCCATGTACCGCAAAAAAAAAGGGTCATTGTGGAGGGATGCTCTTGACTCAAAACTGAGCACAAAAAGCAAGTTGTAGAACAAAATGTATAGTATGATCCACTATATATAAAGATCTGTGATACCAACTCTTTGTACATCCTTGAACAAGTCATTTCAACCATCTGGGCTATACCTTTCTCAATTTTAAGATGACAAGATTGAATTTCATCATTTCTGACACTTTCTAGCTTTAAAAATCTCTGATTTCATCCGGGAGCAAAAGGGGATTCCTGTTTCCCCTAAACTATGTACCTGCTCTATACCCAAATAAATCCTGCTTCTGTTAATAAGAAAAAGAGGAGTGATCTGCTGTGTCTATCAGATAGCACCATATATACTTTATTCATTTTTACCCCTCACAGTGGTACAGTAAGAAATGTTAGTGTGATAGACATTGATGATGCTCACCAATGTTTATGATTCTCCTCCTTCTAGCCTCAGAAAGGGATTGCAATTCCATGCCTCTTGAGATCAGGTCATATGATTTGTTTTGATCAATGAAATTGAAGTATGTGTGATATGTTACTTCTGGGCAGAGGGCGTTTAATTACCATCCTAACTGCCACTGTTCTCTTTGTCTTCCTTGGCAATGTGTGGTAGCTGGTGTTGAAATGGAAGTATAAACCTGAGCCATCCCATGAGAGACAGCTTCCTGGGGAGTCTTTCAGGAAGACTGGAAGCAGAAAATGAATGAGAAATAAACCTTTGATGTTTTATGCCACCGAGATTGTATTTTTACAGCATATGAGCTTAATATACTGGCTACAGCTGGTCAAATGGGATTATCCCCATTTTTTTTTTTCTGATGTGACTAGCCACAAAAATGTAACTCACTCAGTTCTACCTTCTAGTCCACCCCCACGCCACCTTAGACCTTCTTACCTTTTTTTTCAGTTACTATAGTAAAAGCAATCTTATCTATTTAAGGGGAAAATGCCAGCCAAATAGTGTGCAGCAAAGACATCAGGTTCCATGAGCATTTATTAAACGCCTATTATGTTCCAAAGACATTATGCTTCCATATATGTTGTTACACTTTAACCTCACACGATATCCCTGGGGAGGGAGATAAAGACATTACCATTTTACAGAAGAAGAATCTAATTCAGAAAATAGTTGAATGAATTCTTCAAGACAAACCAGCTAGCAAATGTAGAAATGAAACACAAATCCAGGTTGTTTGGCTCTCTTTTCAGTATGCTTTTCACAATGCTACTCTACAGGCTTAGGAAGTCAATTCAATTAAAGGGGAGTAGGTCCAACTGATATACTACTTTAAAAGATGTGATGGGTGAAAGTAAATAATACTGAGTTTAGGCAAATATATTCAAAGCTGAAATGTATGTACTAGTGGTATGTATTGGGTAGTATCTAATAGGGTGTTCAATAGTATTGAATTGGACCTCTGCTTCTGGGAAGATGGAGTAGATGTACCTAAAAATGTCTCTAATTTCAAATGCTAAAGAATTTACTCATTCCACAAATATGTATTGAGTGCTTTATCAAGTGCCAGACATTGACCTTGACTCTAAGTATATGGTAGTGGACAAAACAGACAAAGGCCCTGCTCTCCTGGGGCATATTCTAACGGGAGAGGGGGTAGTCAGTTGGTGATACATACAATAGGGGAGAATACAGCAGTAAACAATTAAATAAGTGAACATATGGTACTCCAGTTGGTGATGAGTACAATGGGGAAAATACAGGAGAGCGGGATTAGGAGATGGTGGAGGAGTGGGGTTATACCGAATGATCAAGGAGACCTCACTGATAACATGATATTTGAGTAAAGACCATGATGAAGCATGATGTAGACATCTGTAAGAATGAACATTTCAGAAACAGTAAATAACATATAAACCTGTAGCAGAAGTATAATTGAAGAGTTCAAGGAAGCAAAGGGAGAGCAGTAGATGAGGTTAGAGAGGCATTGAGGAACAAGATAATGTAGTGCCTTGTAGAACATTACAAAGGCTTTAGCTGTTACTTTGAATGCAAGAGGGAAGCTATTGCACGGCTTCAAGAAAAGACGTGACAGATACAACACACATTGGCTGTTATGGTGAGAATGGACTGTCAGGTGTCATGGGTGAGTGCAGGGAGAGCAGTCAGGAGGCTACTGCAGTATTTCAAGTGAGATGATGGTGGCTTGGACCAAGATGCTAGTAGTAGAGTACTGAGAAGTGGTAGGATTGTTGGATTTATTTTGAAAGTAGAAGCAGGATTTCCTGAGATTTCATATATTTGAGGAACCTCTGTCAAGGATCTGTGAAAACACATTTGCTCTGAGTCCTTGTAGAGCTGGGTGGGCTGTGACTGTGCCTTGGCCTTAGGGAAATCAGTGAAGGTAGGGCCTATTAGGATTTTAGCTCTGGAGATCACAGGCCTTTTCTTTCCCTGGAGGCTCCTTAGCCCACGTTGCTGTCAAGGTGGGGCCAGGGGAAGAGGAAAGTTATGGCCTGAAGAGATGCTGCTGCCACTGCTGTTACGCGTGGGATGAGGGGTCATTTATCCTGAGGGCCTTGACTCCATCCGACTTTGCAGTTCTTCCAGTCTCCCGCTGAGCTTTGAAGGTCTCTCTGCACAGAAAAATACAGCTCTGTATCCACTGCAAAAAGGAGCGCCATCACCAGGCAGAAAGTGATTTGATACCAAGGTGGAAAGATGAATAGAATTGCCGGACCTAATAGGAGAGGCAGAGGGATGGGAAAAATGACAGCTGTTAAGACAGAAATTTGGAATAAACGTTCAGGTCCCCAGTGAGGAGCCTTGAAGTCACCCAAGCCAAAGGCTGAGGCGAAAGCCAAGAGCAGACAGCTAGCCCCGGAAGGCTTCAGAGGATCTATCCTTCATCTCTCTGCCTTTCCAAATAAAGCACTGGATCAGCATTTCCCAAAGGATGACCTCAAACACATCTGTTCTGAAGGACATTAATAGAGTTATAAAGAAAAAAGGTTTTGTGGTTACCTGGGTTTAGCAAATGCCTTATGAAACTTAGTTTAAAAGTTTCCTTTAAGACAGGACTTCTTGAAGCCTTTAATCTGAATTATGAATATAAAAGGAGAGGAACAGAGTATGTAGTGTGTTCTGCATGAATTTGATCACAGAACCCTTCATTCTGAAAGCCCTCTCAAGGAGTTATGTGATTGGGGAACAGCCTTTGGGAAACATTGAACTAAGGAATCCACAGACCACATCAACACATCTTCACTCACCACCTCCTCCAAGCCCAGGACTGGGTATTCACTAACCAACATTAGTCTGGCATAAATAGCTTGTGATGCTGTCTGAAAGGGTATGATATGGATCCCACAATGTACAATTTCTCAAGAACAGGCAGAAGCCTCTTTCTTTGTACGTAGAGAGATTCTCATGCCAACGTGGCCGCTTTGAACTAAGATTTGAGCCTAGGCTGAGAGGTTCAGTAGGGAGACACAAGCAAGCATAAGACACCTACAGGGACATAGGATAAAGTGGTTTGAATAAGGTGGAAAAGAGGGAGAGCGGCAATGTCTGGTGGACGGATATGGAGGATGAAAAGGTGGCTTCTGTCCCCTAAGAGTTAAAACTCCAAATGAAGGACACCCATTTCTATAATCCCTGAGAAATGAGCTGGAACAGAGCTGCAAATTCACACAGCAATTAGGTCAAGCTAGAACTTTCCTATTGATGTCAAACAGGCATACTCGTGAGAACAAAGGTTCTGAAGTACAAAAAAGAACAGTAATCCTCTAACTACCTATCCTTCCAAGGTGTAAAGCTCCTTGAACAGCATTGGTTCCCACCTTGGACAGTGATGGTCACAGGCTGTGATGAGTGAACTGTCTGCCCGATAAATCCCGTGCAGTGGTACTCGCCACTGTGACTGAGGTTTGCTTG